AAGGCCGGTCGCCGGGGCCGGCTGGGCTCCAGGCTGGGCGCAACCACTAACCGGATTCGTGACCCCGGGCTTGCCTTCCCCCCTCACCTCTCTGGGTCTGGGTTCTCCGCCTGTGCGATCGAGGTGACCCAGCCCTGCCTGCGCCCCGGGGGCGTGTGCGGAGGACCGAGAAGATAATGCATGTGGATTGCTCTGTAAACGGGCACACAAGGATTAGGATGGCTGTTCCCGATGAAAGGAAGCGGAGGGGCGGGTGGGGAAGAGGACCAGGGCCGTCGCAGAGAAGGGTGAGCGGGAATCTGCCTTGCTCTGACCCTAGACCCCTCTGAATGGGGAGTGAGGTGAGGAGTAGAGAGCAGGCTTTTCTCCCCTTCGGGGAAACCTCACCCCCTTTTCTGGGCCGCCCTCAGGGTCTCCGTCACCCAACTCCATGCTTCGAGTCCTGCTTGCTGCCCAGGCCTCTGCTGCTCAGCTGTCTGGCCTGCTGCTGCTCCCGCCAATACAGCCCTTCTGCCTGGGGCCCGGCAAGTGGGGGGACCGGCCTCCGGGAGGAGGCCCCCGCGCAGGTCCCGCGCAGGGGCTGCAGCGGCTCCTGGAGCAGGCGAGGAGCCCTGGGGAGCTGGTGCGCTGGCTGGGCCAGAACCCCACCAAGGTGCGCGCCCACCACTACCCAGTGGCGCTTCGTCGTCTGGGCCAGCTCTTGGGGTCTCAGCCACGGCCCCCGCCCGTGGAGCAGACCTCACTGCAGGACTTGAGTCAGCTCATCATCCGAAACTGCCCCTCCTTTGATATTCACACCATCCACGTGTGTCTGCACCTTGCAGAATTACTTGGTGAGGAGGCTGCCTGGGGGTGGGTGTTAATGAAAGAATAGAGAAGAGCAGGAGAGGACCCACGATCACTGACAGGATTCGCCTCTTGGGCCTCGCCAGCACGGCCACACCCGGCCCACGGCTGCTCTCCCACAGGCGGCGGGAGTCGAGCAGCGTTTGCTGCTGCCTCAGATCCCAGCTACCCCGTGCCCTAGGAGCCACCACACTCTGTCACCAATAGAACAAGATGAGAACGTATTCGCCATCTTTGTATAAAGCCTTCCTCATAAGCTGTTCTGATCCCTTAGTTCACATGGAATTTCACATTTCCCCAGTGTTTCCCCTGACACTATAGCACACCTTCCAGCCCAGGAAACAGATGAGAGGTTGGGATTCACTAACAAGCCAGGACTGGAGCAAAGCAGCTCCGCTCCCAGGACCGCCTCCTCTGACCCTCTCCCTCTCAGGCTTCCCGTCAGACGCGCCCCTGGTGTGTGCCCTGGAGCGGGAGCGAAGGTTCCGCCTCCCCCCGAAGCCTCCTCCCCCTCTGCAACCTGTCCTTCGCGGTGGGCAACGGTTGGAAGCTGCTCTGAGCTGCCCCCACTTTCTGCGGCATCCACAGCAGCACCTCATCCGAAGCTTGGCAGGTGCTGGAGGGGTTCAAAGGCAGGCTGGGGGTCAGGGGCCGAGGAAGAGGCAGGTGGTGGGGTCTGGGCTAAGGTGGACACTCGACTGGAGGTCTGGCCTGAGGGTCCAGCGTGATAGGCTGTCCTTCACAGAGGCCAGGCCAGAGGAACTGACTCCCCACGTGATGGTGCGCCTGGCCCAGCACCTGGCCCGACACCGGTTGCGGGAGCCCCAGCTTCTGGAAGCCATTGCTCATTTCCTGGTGGTCCAGGAAGCCCAGCTCAGCACCAAGGTGGGATTACCTCCCGTGCTTCCCAGACACCGCCAGGCTCAGCCCCTGTCCAGCTTGATTGGCTGCCGTGTCCCACAGCGAACACCCCAGCCAGGCCCTGTCCCCAGGTTTCCATCCTCCTTGGCGTCACCCCCAGCACGTGCAGTCCTGCAAGCACTCAGCACCGTCCTCACTTCACTGACCCCACTCCTCTAAGCCTGCAGGGCCAGGCCCCTTAGCAGTGTCTCCACCTGTTTGGTGATTGACTGTATGGGGCTCAAGACACTGCTTATGCCACAAACTTCTGGTGTGTGTCCGGTAGAGGAACGGTGCTGCCTTTGCAGTGACGGTCTAAACGTGCAGATCAAGCCTCCCCGAGGCTCTCCTTGCCAAGGGTTTTGGAGAACGTTCCTTGCGGGGGTGATGGCTGCTCTCCCTCTACAGGTGGTACAGAAGCTGGTCCTGCCCTTTGGGCGGCTGAACTACTTTCCCCAGGAACAGCAGTTTATGTCCTGCCTCGAAAGGATCCTGGCTCGAGAAGCAGGGGCGGCCCCCCTGGCCACTGTCAACATCTTGATGTCACTGTGCCAGCTTCGGTGCCTGCCCTCCCGAGCCCTGCAGTTTGTCTTTTCCCCAAGTTTCATCAGCCACATCAGTGGTGCGCTGACAGGACGGCTGGCCGCGGCCCAGAGGGCTGGTGGGCAGGGTAGAGGGGGTGGGAGTCTGCAGCCCAGCAAACCTCGGTCCCCTTGCCTGTAGGCACCCCTCATGCCCCGATTGTGCGGCGCTACCTCTCCCTACTGGACACGGCTGTGGAGCTGGAGCTCCCAGGATACCAGGGTCCCCGCCTTCCCCGAAGACAGAAAGTGCCCCTCTTCCCCCAGCCACTCATCACTGACCGTGCTCGCTGCAAGTACAGGTGGATGGGGCAGCTTGGGGAGGGAAGGGACCAGCCCAGAGGCAGGGTAGAAAGGCCAGAGAACTGGGACCTGTTTCTGCTGGTACTCTAAGCAGTCATAAGTAAATGGGCCTTGAAGCAACAGAGGCATTTGCCTAGGGTCACAGAGCTGGGGTGGGCGGTGGGCGACCAGAGACTCCTGGGCCTTCCTGCTATCGGTGTTCCACCCCCCTCAGTCACAAGGATATAGTGGCCGAGGGGCTGCGCCAGTTGCTGGGGGAGGAGAAATACCGCCAAGACCTGACTGTGCCTCCAGGCTATTGCACAGGTGAGCTCCAGGTACGTGGGCAGGCGGCAGGCTGGCATGGAGCTGTGGCTAAGCCACTGGCCCTTTCTCTCCCACCTTTCAGACTTCCTGCTGTGTGTCAGCAGCTCTGGTGCTGTGCTCCCTGTGAGGACCCAGGACCCTTTCTTACCTTATCCGCCCAGGTCCTGTCCCCAGGGCCAGGCTGCCTCTCCGCCCACTACCCAAGACCCTGCCCAGAGGTAAGGGAAGAGGGCAGGAGGCCTCCCCTGCCTTCACAGACAGCGACCCTGAGCCATGGCCGCTCTCTCTCCAGGGTGGTGCTGATGCTGCAGGAACGCTGGCATTTCTGCCGGGACAGCAGGGTGCTGCTGGGCTCCCGGGCCCTGCGGGAACGGCACCTGGGCCTGTTGGGCTACCAGCTTCTGCCGGTGAGCCTCCCCTGCCCCGCCCCTGATGATACCCTGTGTGCCCACTCCCTCACCCACAGGGCCTGTGGATAACCTGCTGCCTCTCCCCACAGCTACCCTTTGAGGAACTGGAGTCACAGAGAGGCCTACACCAGCTCAAGAGCTACCTGAGACAGAAGCTGCAAGCCTTGGGCCTCCGCTGGGGTCCTGAAGGGGGGTGAGGGGATGCACATGGGGTTCACGATGGCTCCCCTATGGGGGGGTGGACAGTTTGCACTTTGGATCCCTCTGTTTTTGTTCATTAAAGTCCCTTCTTCGTTGCACATCTTGTTTCTGGGACGGGGAGCAGACTGGGTCTCCCCACTTCTTTTCCATCCATGCCCCCACCCCTCATACAGAGACAGAAGGCCAAGGATAGGTGGGGGCCGAAGCACTTTACTGCGGGGGGTGGGGGAGTAGGGGAGGAAGGGGACTTTAAATTAATCACTTAAATAAAAATGAGCAGGGAAGGGGATGGGAGAGCATCCCTGGCCCCTGTTCCCTCTGTCCATCGTCCATCCCGGCAGCAGCTACACAGGCATGGGCATCTCGTTGTACTCGTCCACACCCTCCCGCTCATCGAACACGGGCTCTGCCTCATTGGCGTCCAGCTGTCGGGGAGGATGGTGTCAGGAGGGCTGACCCCACCCAGGACCTTGGCAGGGACCAGAAAAGGGGCTTGGGGCAGGAGGGCAGGCGGCCTTACACATTTCATCTCTCGATCCGTGAAGATGCGGGTGAGCACCACCATGCGCAGAGGCACTGTGAGGATGAGGATGAAGGGGAAGGCCAGGGAGGCCGCTGTGGACATGACGGCCCAGAGCAGGGCCAGGCAGAGCAGCTGCAGGGCTGTGAACAGGTGCATCCGGAGGGTCCGGACCTGGGGGTGGGCAGGGTGGGATGAGACGGGTGAGCCCAGGCTTCTACCAGCCGAGGGCCCTGGTCCCTGCTGGGACATCTGGTTCTGACACATCCAGAGGATGGCTGACCCTTTTCCTCTCCACGGGGGTGAAGACAGAAGTGCCTCCTTGGGTGCGCACCAGAGCCCAGTCCGCACAGACTGAACGGTGGCTGGCCAAAGTGGGCAGATGGGGGGCTGGAGGGTGACCCACGCAGCCCTGAGTGGGGTCTCACCTTCTTCACATAGGTGACATCTGGGTGGTGTTTGGGCGGCATGAGCAGCAGGTGCAGCCGCTCATAGAACTGGATCCCGTTGAGGGAGGTAACCCCCATGTAGAGGAAAATCCCTTAGAGCCCTAGGAGGCCATGAAATTGAACCATAAGTTTTCATCTA